CAGTTCAATGCAACTAATGTCGTCTTAGTGTTATTGCATTATGTTAAAATTGGTTTGCCATGAATTTAGTGATGGATTGTAAACGTTTTAAATGTAGCGTGTTTCTCAGTTACAAGGTTATTGTTTTAATAAATCAGACACTGATGGTGCAGCACTGTACTGTACCTCTTTCTATAGGCATTTTTTCCTTAACAAATTGTTTTTGCGCTGATCAGGGGGTAGTTGGCTGAATTTTTTTTTCAAAGGGGGGTACATGATTGAAAAAAGTTTGAGAACCACTGACTTAGACTCTCGATAAAACCCATACTAATGCTACAGTAGGAGCACCACAATATGCCTACCTTTCATTTGCACTTCAGCTGGTTAGATTTAGGTTTTGAAATGGTTCTTTGTGTTTATAGGGAGTGCACCTATGGGACCTGCAGGACCGGGTGCTGGTGAGGAAGTACCAAGGTGTGACCCAGGGCTTCTACACCATCCACTCCGGCTTCGGAGGGCACAATGAAGACTTCATCGCTAGTGGCAGCGAAGGCAAGACAGAATCATGTTTCAGGGTCTTTGCATGAAAAGCTGTTTTTCTGTCAGTGGCCCACCCTGAAGCTAGAGCTGTTGTTGCTGCTAGCTTCAGGGCTAACAGACCCCCTTCACTTTGGTGTTGGTTGGACTATGCTCAATAAAGTCAATGGGCACAAATTGACACTGAAATGTTCAAGTTAAAAATAAAGTTTAAAAATATTAAGTATTAAACATACAGCCAAACATTCATCTCATCACTGTGGGGAAGCAATGTTCATCCTGAGCAGTACTCCACATGAAAACATATTTTCACGCACATAATTGCTGGTGATGTTTTAAGTGAGTGAAACTCCAATCAGCTGACAGCCTGTCCTGCCCCTCCTCAGATCACAAAGTTTACATCTGGCACCGGCGCAGCGAGCTGCCCATCGCTGAGCTGACGGGGCACACCCGCACCGTCAACTGTGTGAGCTGGAACCCTGTCCTGCCCGGGCTGCTGGCCAGCGCCTCTGACGATGGGACCGTCCGCATCTGGGGCCCCGCCCCCTTCCTGGACGTCCAGGAGGCAGACGGCCTCAATGGTAAGAACACGAAAACTAGTGTGTGTACTTATTATGAATGATGATGGTGGTGGTGGTGATTATGTGGTGATGATGATGGTGGGGATGATGATGATGATGGTGGTCATGATGATGATGATGGTGGTGGTGGTCATGATGATGGTGGTGGTGGTGGTCACGATGATGATGATGATGATGGTGGTGGTCATGAGGATGATGATGGTGGTAGTCATGATGATGATGATGATGATGATGATGACGACGACGACGTCTCCCCCTCTGTCTCCCGCTCCATCAGATTGTAGCAGCATGGACAGCTGATGGTGTGCGCTGAGCCTGAGGAGCATTGAGACTCTGAACTCTTTGAACTGATGAAGCAGGAAGTGCTCCCGTCGTCAGGCAGTAGCTTCCTGGAGACGGCCCGCGGTGCTGCATGGCAGGATGTCACCACACAGAGATGTCAGAGCAGGCACATCATCCAGAGCAGAGCCGGACACATGAAGCTCTCTCCTCCTCCTCCTCCTCCTCCCCCTCCTCCTCTGCTCCCTCTCCACCACCCAGGACCACCAACCTGCTCTTATTTATTATCAACTACATTATTTATTCATGAGTAGTTTACTGACTTGTGCTAGGCTGTGACATAGCGGCGCCTTGTGGACGGTGTGTTTTAGGTTTGTTTCCTATCAGCTGCTCACACCAAGCAGCAGAAGCCCTTTCCCTCCTCACCTGCAGAACCTATTTAGAGATTTGAACCATCCAAACATTTGATGGATGCACCCACTTGAAGAGAATCTTAATATCCTTGTCTTTTCTTTCATGCAATGTATATTTTACACATTTATTTCTGCTCATAGCCAGAGGGAGTAGTGTTTGATGAGCATGTTTCATACGTCCTGCTTCATCTCTTCAATCCGCTGTGTCGATGCCTTCTGAGAGTAAGCAGCAGCTAACGTGTGGAAACCTGTAGAGTAGTTTCCCTCATGCCATCAGTGGATTTGTATCTTTATTTTTCCCTTCAGTATTTAATCTTTGATTCATCTTTTCCTGCTTACAAAAAGCATATGCATTTCACTTGGTTTGGTTTAGTTACATGTTCTGAGTTTAATGGTGTTTGTTTGGATTTACTACAAATGGAGATATAATGTTTAAAGAGACACTCTAATTTATTGCTTTACCTTCAACATCACGGCTCAGTGTGAAGTGTTTTAGAGATGAGGCTGGTGTTATAATATTTAATATTGTTAAAAAATCTAATGCAGAAACCATCAATCAATCAATGTGTGTGTTCAAGGTGATGAAGAATACGTTACCCAGTGCAACTCTGATACAGAAGGAATAATACATATCAGGCGTTGATACACACACAAAACTTCCTATAAGATACAGTTATTTTTTGGTCTCTGCATTAGATTGAATTATGCTAAAAATAAAGAAAAAATTGCCAGCCTTCTCCTTTTATTTGAACACACCCCAGTGAGCTGACACACACAGTAACACTGATGGATCTGTAACAAAACACGTTTGTACACAATTGTAAAATATGAAGTGTAAAAGAGCAATTTTGCCTACTATGATATTCTATGATGTGCTGTATATTTATTTGTTATGGCATGTATTATGCGGCTGCGTAGAGTGGCAGGATGTCGGGTGTGTTCAGGGTTCCCATGCCGTTTTCTTTTACTGTTTACTTCGCACCAAATTTTCCTGACTGAAATTCACAAACTGTGAAGCCAAACATACTTTTTGGATATTTAAAATGGATCATTTTGTGACATCTTTTCCAAACCGCTTCAACAGAATATTATTTTTTAAGGCTTTGAAGTGGATAAGTGCAGGAGCGTCGGAACCCTGTTCATCATCATCAGCGCCTCCATCACAGAACACACACGCTATAGGAACACAACAATAGATGTCTGACTCACACAAACTTGATCTACTCACAGACGTGGTGTTCTAGTGACTTTCTTTGTTTATCGGAGTATTTCTGGCTTCTCGCTGTAAGAAGCCACAGTAGGAACTTAGTTTGCTTGCAGGCAGTTTCTGCCAGAAAACCATTTTACGTTTTAAATGTGTTACTACAAAAAAAGTGATTGTACTGTTCTGTATTGTATGTAGGAGTGTTATGTATGCATATTTAAAATAAAGAATTCAGGGTTTTAAAATGTAATTTACCTTTCTTTCCTTGATTTATACTTAGTAGAGCAGGTTTCTGCGTTCAAGGACGTTTCTTTGTTTCAGCCACTGAAAGCTTTGTTTTTAAAGTTGACTTTAGCCAATGAAAGAGACCCTATTATGCATTTTGGGGCTGTCCCACACTCCTCCACCTGCCTGAAATGCCTCCCTTGGACTTGTTTTACTTCTGTAACATAGTGACATCACTATTTAACACTCGTGCTTCTATAGAGTGGTGCAGGGATGACGTATTTACCCGGGAGTAAACTGCATGGGTTCCCTCGACAAAAAAGCAATGGGGTTTCTCCATAGGATTTTGGAAAATACCTCGAAATAAGGTCTGTGGGAAACGAACCCGTTTGATAAATGCACGTTTTGTTCAGCCGGATAATATCCACATGTCTACCATACTTTTATAATTTTCTAATCAGCGAGCCCGGTCGTCAACGGCCTGCTGGCGACTGGCTCGGTTTGCTGACGACCGGACGTACTTTGATTCTCCAGAACACACAGTTGGCCAGTCCGCCCCTGTGTAGCATATTATTTTCGATGACAGATGAGCAGATCGCCACTGGGCTTTCAACTAAAGACACAGCCACGCAAAAAACTGCGGCATGTAAAGCTCCTTATAGGCTACTGCAATGAGTGAAGTGCGCTACACCCCTGATCGTTTCACCATGGAGGAAAGCAGCAGAAAGTCGACTGGAGTTAAAGAGAGCGGGGCATAGAAGTTATCCTTCTACGCTGCGTTGCGTGGCTTCCTTCTACTGGGGGAGACGCGCTCTGCCGGAGGTCTCGTTCAGGATCCGAAAATACAATTCAAATATTTTTGCACACTTATTCCTAGTGTGCCACTGGTTACGGTCATGGTTACAGTCCCGCGGTTGCCGACCCCTGCTATAAAGGAACTATAGCCGCGCGGCAGGGCCGCACGACTTCAACGTCACGCCAACTTAGGATCGATATTAAAAAATACAGATTAAAAATTGTACAAGTTGAAGCGTTTGTTTTAACAGTTTGCAAGAGCGCAGGTACTTGCTTTCAAGCAGAACAGGGGCAAACAAACTTAGCGGTAGTGTTTACGTGTTCGGAGTAATGACGTACAACGTCCTCGACAACTTCTGTAGTCCTATTCAGCCACTTGTTAACAACCATCGTTTTTCAGACACGTAAACTCTTCAAAAATCACCAGTGGGGTCACTGCTGATGTATTTAATGTCGTGGAACAAAACTTGATCCGTCTCTTAAATGGGTGTCAACCACATACCTTATTTCCAGCTATTTTCCAAAATCCTATGGCGAAATCCCATTGACTCTGAGACGAGGGAACCGGTAGTGGTAAAATGCTAACTCACTTCCGGGTTATATCTCACACAGGCTCCGCCCTCTACTGGACTCTATGGGTACTACTCTCAACCATGCTATGCGAGCATTCACCTACTGAGTTGCATAAACGTAGCCGGCCAATCGGGGCGAGCCTACCTGAATGCGCTCCCAGGCCCACAGTATATGGCGGCTACGCCTCCTGACTGTCATCCTTTTCTCTTCAGCGAGCAGGACAACACCTGACAGAGGAAAGTAAAACGTTTGAAAGAAGAAGAAAGAAGTTATCATACATGTCCTTCGTGCCCTGGCTTAATAGCGGGTGCTGATCCCCACCACCTCTGCTTCGAGTGTTTGGGGGACCAGGATATGGCCGAGGCGGTGCCATTTACGTTCGCCATTCACGTTCGCCATTCCAGCGGGGCGGATAGCTCCGTTTGCCGGGGACGAGGATGACGAGGACTTCTCGTTGTCGGGCACTTCCGGGTCCGGCGTCCATGGAAGTCCACCGCCCAGGTCTGTCCGCCAGGACTTCCCCCTGGTGATGACCATGGCGTCGGAGCGTGGTAGCCCATCTGCTCCCACAGGCAGCAGGCTGGGCAGAGAACCTCTGACCTCCGCAGAAAATCTGCCCTTTTAATGTTGGTTCCCCATAAGCCAATCTTCCTTTCATGGAAGGTTTGGCGGAGGAGGGCCACCAGGGAGTACCACAGCTTCTTAGCTGCGACTCCACAGCTGCTTGCAGGTCCCCTAAACACAGTTTTATGGGGAATGGAAGCTCAGCTGTGTACTGACAGAATGGATGGACAGGACACTGAAACTGGGGTACTCACTCCCGTTTTGCGGCATCCCTCCTCCATTCAGGGGCATAAGAGAGGCAAATCTATCATCCCAGGAGGAGATAGGTTTCCTTTCAACAGAGATTCAGGCCCTGTTGCAAAAACAGGCTGTGTCTGTTGTGCACTCTCAGGACAGAGAAAAGGGGCTTTACTCCATGTACTTCCTGGTTTCCAAGAAGACCGGGCGATGGGTTCACAACCATCGACCTGAAGGACGTTTACTTTCATGTCAAAATTGCTCCAAAGCACAGAAAGTATTTGCGTTTTGCCTTCCAGGGGGCAGCCTACGAGTACAACAGACTACCGTTAGGCTACTCCCTATCCCCACGCACGTTCAGCAAATGTGTGGCCACAGCACTTCAGCCGCTTCGTGACCATGGCATGAGGGTTTTCTTTTACGACCTGATAGTCATGGCCAGGTCCAGGGAAGGGGCAAACACAACCCAATTGATCCAAGTGGGGATTGCGGTCAATTGGAAGAAGAGCAGTCCCATACCTCACCAGCAGCTGGAGTTAGGGCTGGGCGATTTGGCCTAAAAATAAAATCTCAATTTTTTCTAACTAATGGACAATTTTGATTTAAACCTCGATTTTTTTCTGTTTTTTTCTGTTTTTTTCTAAACAAACCAGACCAAGGCAAAA